TTGTAACTATGTTTAAGCATTGTTTCGGGTGATTCTATTTTTCGTCGAAAATCCGCCTGCAGGGGAGCACGCCCGACCTAAGGGTACATTTTCGTAACAAATGGATGTGCGAAATGTGTCGTGCCCTAGCCCTCACCGAGGCCACCAAGGCCCGACAATACATGGAGAAGCGCCCAGGGTACAGCCAGGCCCTCTCCCGGCTTCCAGAGGACCATAGGGGCCACAACATATGCGTGTTCCTTAGGCTCCAAGCCAAGAACTGTCGGCTGGTTTGCTCGGACTGCGTCGTGCTTCATGAGATCGGACCCGAGGTTTCCACAAACCTTGCCCACGCGCCCCTCCCAGCATCAACAAATGTGCCGCCCGAACTTGCCTCCGAGAGCGCAGACATCCTAAGCTAGGGAAGTCCAGCCCAATCGAATTTGATATCCCTGTTACCCTACCCGCGTTCACCCAGGCAGCGCAGCAGGCGCTGGCAGACGGGAGTCGGAGCAGCCAGTAATCACGTACAGAGCGACCCATGGGCACAATCAAACACAAGACACCCCAGTCAGATGCGGAAGTCCCACTCCTCTCCCCTCGCCCCCTCATCATCATCATCATCATCATCATCATCATCATCATCATCATCATCATCATCATCATCATCATCATCATCATCATCATCATCATCATCATCATCATCATCATCATCATCATGGCCATCCTCATCATTGGGGGAGGAGGAGGAGGAGGAGGAGGAGGAGGAGGAGGAGGACGCCACAAGCTTGCTCTCCAGGTCCGAACCACGTCAAAAAGGAGGAGACGAAGGAGGAGGAGGAGGAGGAGGAGAAGGAGGAGGAGGAGGAGAAGGAAGAGGAGGAGGAGGAGGAGGAGGAGGAGGAGGAGGAGGAAGGGGAAGGATAGACGAAAAGTAGGAGCGAGGGCGGGAGGTAGGAGGAGCAGCAGCAAGAGCAGGAAGGGATGAGGAGGAGGAGGGGGGGGCAAGGACGAGGGGTCGATGCGAATGCGACGAGGAGGAGGAGGCAGACGATGATGAAGTGGATGATGGTGATGATGAGGCTGACGATGATGATGATGATGATGACGATGACGATGATGATGATGATGATGATGATGATGATGATGATGATGAGGCTGACGATGCTGATGATGATGATGGTGATGATGGTGATGATGATGATGGTGATGGTGATGGTGAAGCTGAAGCTGATGCTGATGCTGATGCGGATGCGGATGCTGATGCTGATGTTGATGCTGATGGTGATGGTGGCGATGGTGATGTTGATGGTGACGGTGATGATGATGATGATGGTGATTATGATAATGGTGGTGATGGCGATGGTGATCACGATGGTGATGGTAATAGTGATGGTGATGACGATGGTGATGATAATGGTGTTGGTGATGATAGTGATGACGATTACTACTATGATGGTGACGACGATGACAATGGCGATCTCGATGCTGATGTTAATGTTGATGATTAGTATGATGGTGATGATGACGATGCTGATGATGGCGAGGATGCTAACGATGATGAGGATGATGAGGATGGTGACGATGATGATGCCGAGGCTGACGATGATGAAGATGGTGATGGTGATGGTGATTGTGATTACGAGGATGACGATTATGACAAGTATGATGATGCTGATGCTGATGGTGATGCTATTGATGATGATTGCTGGTGCTGATGATCATGATAGTGGTGATGACGATTATGATGGTGATGCTGATGCTGATGAGGATGATGACGATGATGATGATGAGGAGGAGGAGGAGGATCATGACGACGACAACGACGACGACGACGACGACAGAGGAGGAGGAGAAGGAGGAGGAGGCGGAAGACCAAGAGAAGGAGGAGTGGCGAGGAGGAGGATGATGAGGATGAGGAGAGGGCAAGGAGAGGATAATGAGAAGTTGGAGTACGAGGAGGAGAAGGAGGAGGAGGAGGAGGAGAGCAACGATTGTGCCGATGACCAGCTCCTCCTCGGAGCGCTCCGACGAGGGGTGACCGCGCCAAGCATAGCCGCAAGGCCTCTTCGGGGCCCGTTGGTAGGGATCAGGGGCCTTTGGAGGCGTCCTGCGGCATGCCCCTGCCGCTCGTCCTGCGATGAGGAAGACGAGGGAGGAGGAGGAGGAGGAGGAGGAGGAGGAGGAGAAGGAGCACGAGGGAGGAGGAGGAGGAGGATGAGAAGAAGGAGAAGGAGAAGGAGAAGGAGAAGGACGGGCAGGAGGAGGTACGCAAAAGGCATCCGGCAAAGAGAATTGGAAGGAGAGGAGGAGGAGGGGGAGGAGGAGGAGGAGGAGGAGGAGAGCAGGAGGAGGAGGAGGAAGAGGAGGAGGAGGAGGAGAGGAGGAATAGATGTGGTAGCAGGATGGGGGAGGAGGGAGAAGGTGCTACGGAGGAGGAGGAGGAGGGTAATGACGGGAGGAAGGTTTTCGAGAAGAGGGGCAGGAGGAGGAGCAGCAGGAGGAGGACGACGAAGAGAACCCCCGGAGCGAGGCGTTCGAGCGCAAAGCTGTGCAGCATTCACACGTCTGTGCACGTGCGGTGTTCGCCGTGGTGTTGCCAACCCGCATAAGAAGGCCCACCCTTGACCGCTTTCGCTGGCCGCGCCCCGCTCGCAAAGCGTCGGCACGACCTCCCGAGGTCCTTGCACCCCTACCGTTATAAGTATCCAAGGACCGACCACAACGATGTTTGGTTCGGTGTTGGCCCTCGTTTCGTTTTTTCGTGCCGTGTTTCGCTGTGCCTGCGTTGTGGTGTCCGTTGTCTCTGCAAACGCGTTTTGAATGCTGTGTATATCCGTAAGGGTGACGCCCCCCTGCCGCCGGCCCCCTCTCTCGGATAATGGACTATGCAAGAGCTGAATCATGGGGCCTCGGCGCCGCCGTGAAGCAGCATCGGCAAGAGAAATTTAGATTACGATGAGATTGTTGAACTCAGTGTTGCCTTTTGAACCTGCCCCCGTAAGCTGTGCACTGAGACTTCCCACAGAATTTCGGACATGTGGCAAATCCTATTTGTCTTTCAACCCTTACCCTGCTGATCTGCGTGAGAGGTGCCGCCGAATTTCAAGAATGTTGCAAATCCCATTGGTTGTTCGACCCTGACCCCGCAGCTCTGCGTGAGGGGTGCCGCCGAATTTCAGAAATGTGGCAAGTCCCCCCCATGGTTTTTCAACCCTGACCCCGCCGATCGGCGTGAGGATTTGTTTTTCGACCCCGACCCCGCCGATCTGCGTGAGGGTTGCCGCCAAATTTCAGAAAGGTGGCAAATCCTAATTGTTGTTCGACCCTGACCCCGCCGATCTGCGTGAGGGGTGCCGCCGAATTTCAGAAATGTGGCCAATCCTTGTGGCTTTTCGACCCTGACCCCGCCGATCTGCGTGAGGGTTGCCGCCGAATTTCAGAAATGTGGCCAATCCCTGTGGTTGTTCGACCCTGACCCCGCCGATCTGCGTGAGGGGTGCCGCCGAATTTCAGAAATGTGGCCAATCCCTGTGGCTTTTCGACCCTGACCCCGTCGATCTGCGTGAGGGGTGCCGCCGAATTTCAAAAATGTGGCCAATCCCTATGGTTGTTCGACCCTGACCCCGCCGATCTGCGTGAGGGGTGCCGCCGAATTTCAGAAATGTGGCCAATCCCTGTGGCGTTTCGACCCTGACCCCGCCGATCTGCGTGAGGGGTGCCGCCGAATTTCAGAAAGGTGGCAAATCCTAATTGTTGTTCGACCCAGACCCCGCCGATCTGCGTGAGGGGTGTCAATTTAGAGAACCCTCCCAGGAGACGCTAGATTTGCCGGTTTTCGGCTCCCCCCCCTCGCGCGGTCTATCAACAAGGAGCAGTAAGCAACAAGAAGCAGAACTGTAACAGTGGAAACCGGAAACTGGAACAGGCGCAGGGAACAGCAAGCTCTGAGCCTACAGCCTGGTGGCCCCACAAGGGGGCCGGCGGATATGTATGTGTGTATTCATGTATATATTTGCGTATACAAATATAGTTATATAAGCATATGTTAACGCTGCCCGCCGCTCAATATGAGGGCGGGAGACTTAAAATGTCACCCTCGTATGGAGCGGCGGTTACATCCTCGGCCCCAGCAGCAGCGAGCGGAGCGGGGCGCGGAGGCAGCTGGTCCACGTGCACGAACGGCGCCCATCTGAGGGGCGGGGGGACAGCCATCCGGCATCGGGAGCTAGGCATTGATCCTGAGGAGGAGGAGGAGGAGGAGGAGGAGGAGGAGGAAGAGGAGGAGGAGGAGGAGGGGAGAGGGAGGAGGAGGAGGAGGAGGAGGAGGAGGAGGAGGGAGGAGAGAGGAGGAGGAGGAAGAGGAGGAGGAGGAGGAGGAGGAGGAGGAGGAGGAGGAAGAGAGGAGGAGGAGGAAGAGGAGGAGGAGGAGAAGGAGGAGGAGGAGGAGAAGGGTGCCACAAACAGCAGACTGTACGAGTGATGAGCGGGAGGCATGTGTCATTCTAGCTCATCTTCCGCACGTGTGGTGCATCATTCGATACGTGCACTCAGCCTGTTTTGTGCGAATCCGTTTTAGCGGCCTGACACGGGCTACATTATACACGTCCCTTGGTTTTTCTGTGGTGTGATTGGTGTTGGTTGACGTTTGATACGTGCACATGTCTGTAACGTTTGATGCAGTCCGTGTTACGGCACGAACTAGATTTACATACCATGGCGATTTCACCACAGTGGTGTGCCTGGATCGCCAAGCAGGGTTGGCGGGTCTGGAGAGCGAGCCAGAACGACCACTTCAATGTCTAAGCTGTACTGGTGAGCTCTCGGGCACTTGGGGAGCCAAGCGTTGGCAGCCCAATTGAGCAGTGCCCAGAGGCTTTCAGGAGGGCATGTTCAGGCTTTGCCGATGCACCGCCGGGAAACATGAGCACACCACCCACCGTTGTACGAGCCCACTGCGCCACCAGACAGGCTGAGAATCAACGCCCGTGCTCCGCGTGGGGCCCGCGGTGCCCCCGCAGGAACGGAGAGGGAGGGACCAGCACTTGACATGAACAGGGTTCTCTCCTCAGGGCCGCCGCCACCGACGTGAGCCAGGCCCGCCCCAGGGTCCCCAGAGAAGAGGTCCGACCAGAAACAACCAGAGACGGTGCATCGACCCCGCCCCCTCTGTGTACCAAGGAGGCCCCGGCAAACCGAGGGGGAGGGGTGGGGGCGGGACGTCGCATTTTTGTCAGGAAGGGGGGGAGGGAGGCCATGAAGGAGAGGGGCGAGGA